CCCTAGGGCCATCAGTTCCACCCCTAATGGATAGGTACATCTGTGTAGTCATGAGCGGAGCTGACTTTACAGTAGTCATCAGCAATGGGGTGAGGGATGTCAAAGTCAACAAGAAGTGCTTCTGTGAATAATTAAGTAGTGATAGGAAGACCAAGGACTGCTAAGTGGAGCAGGGGTCTCTGGTGACAGGGCATGGAAAAGACTGAGGTAGCTACTGAATTTTGGGCTCAGCCTTTATTAGTAAGAGGGGCCTTCTGAAATCCAAGGACCTGAAGATGAGGGAGAAAGCATACCCTTGGTGGAAGAGGATCAGGCTAGAGAATAGCTAAGCAAACTGGACACAAGTCCATGAGCTCTGATAGGATGCACCCATGGGTGATGAAGGAGCTGGCAAATGGCATTGTGAAGCCACACTCAATCTTTGAACAATTATGGAGAATAGGAGAGGTGCCTGAGGACAGGAAGAAAGTAAATATCACTCCTGCTTTCAAAAATTGTAAGGAGGACCTGCTGACCTTGTCAGCCTCACCTTGATCACTGGGAAAGTGATGAAACAACTAATCTTGGAAGCCATTTCCAGGCACATAAATGACAATGTCATTGGGAGTAGTAAACATGGATTCACAAAGGAGAATTCATGCCTGATCAACATGATAGCATTCTATGGTGAAATGATTGGCCTTGTAGGTAAGGGGAAAGTGGTGGATATTGTGTGCTGTGACTTCAGGAAGGTTGTCTCCCATAAGATCCTCAGAGACTGATGTATGGGCTGAATGAGGAGACAGGTGGATTGAAATTCGGCTGAATGTCTGGGCCCAGAGGGTGGTAGTAAGTCATACAAAGTCATCTGGAGGCCAGTAACAAGCAGTATACCCCAGAGGTTAGTACAGAGTCCAGCCTCTTTGCCTTCATTAAGGATCTGGTTCGTGAGGCAGAATGTACTCTCAGCAATTTTGCAGGTGACACTGAGCTGGGACTAGTGGGTGATGTGCCAGAGGGTCATGCTGCCATCCAGAGGGGCCTTGACAGGCTGGAGAAATGGCCTGACAGGAACCCCATGAAGCTCAACAAGGGGAACTGCAAAGTCCTGCACCTGAGGAAGAAAAACCCCATGCACCAACATATGCTGGAGGTCAGCCATCTGGAAAACAGCTTGGCAGAAAGCCAGAGGTTGGATCAGGTGGCCTCCAGCAGTCCCTTCAAACCTCACCCATTTTGTCATTGAGTGATTGCATTTCATAGTGGCTCAGGATTTAAGGCAATCTGGTTTATTATTCTGTCCCTACGTGTTGATATTCCCCGATTCTTACATTGGAAATGACTGTTGAATAATTCCTTATCTACCTTAAAATATCTCAAGTTGGAAAGGACTCATAAGGCTCAAGCCCGACTCCCTGCTCCTCACAGGACTGCCTAAAACTAAAGCATATGACTAAGAGCGTTGTCCAGATGCACCTTGAACTTAGACTTGGTGCTGTGACTGCTTCCCTGAGGGGACTGTTCCAGGGACTGACTACTCTTTCGGTGAAGAACTTTTTCCTAATGTGCAAATCTGAACTTTTCCTGATGCAACTTCATTCCATTTCCTCTTGCTCTGTTGCTGGTCATCAGAGAGAGGAGATCAACACCTCCTTCTGTGTTCCCCTTGAGGAAGGTGTAGACTACCATGGGGTCACCATTCATTCAGCCTTCTCCTTTCTGTCGTATAAGCCTCAGTTGTCATTTGTAGTATGAAATGCCTTAATGTTCTTAATTGTTCTTTATGTGTCAGCTGTCCTATACTGTTGGTCATATCTGATATAGTTTCTGATGCACTTCCAGTTCTGTTATGATCCTTCCAAATTAAGAAACAAGACTGTGAATGCACACAGTTGGGTAATGGAGTTTTTTGTGTTCTCTTGTATTTTCTAAAATTCTATTGTATTTTTACCATCCTGACCACTAGGCAACTCTTAATTATAGAAGTTCTGTAGGTGGTGATAGTGCAGAACCCATTACTTTGTATAATGTTAGGATATATAAGTTATATATATGTGTGTGTATCAACTCCCAAGTGTCGTCTCTTACACTTTGCTGCTTTGAAAATTTTTTTTTTCTTTCCTTAACATTCAGGTTGGGATTCAGGTTGACATTTGAACTCTGGTTGTAGTTAATAGAAAGATAGCAAATAAAAGCAATTGCACTCCTTTTGTTCTTTAATTTGCCTATAAGACAGTTGGTGGCACCATCCAATGCATTCCCCATAAGGAAAGGCTCTACCGTGAGAGCGTTGTCCGGTCTTTCATGATTGTGTAGCAAAAAACTTAATGTATACATATATATATATATGCATATCTTACTGTTCTTAGCTGGTGGTTTGGCCTCACTCTGCTTGCAGAATGTTTGAAATACTTTTTTTTAGGCTCTTTACAAATAGTTTAAATTCTCTGACCTGCTTTTATGAGTGTCTTATATTTGTTTTATTAGCATTTGTCCTTTGAGGTTAGAGATAGGTTCAGCTTTTCCAGTGATACCTCTCTGAATGCCTCTCCTTTTACCCTGCAGTTCTAGCCTTACTGAGCTCTTTTTTGCCCTTTCTCAAGCTTTTTCTTTTTTTTGGACAATTGTGTATTTGCTCCGACTTCCTGTGGGATTTCTCTAAATGTCTTCCCATAATGTATACATATGTTTTACTCTTTTAAATCTTTTTAACCATAATTTATATAGCTTCCCTTTTTCAAATTAAGCAATACCAGAACTGATCTGTTTTTTGCAAAGGTACAAAAAGGTTCCTGTTCAAATGGTTCCTAAGTATTTTGGGTCAGTTTCTGTTCATTGTTCATGTCAATCAAACTTTAGTTCCCTGATAACTTCTTAATGAAATAACAATTTACAGTTTCTGAAAATTTGCTCTTAGCCTCACACCCTGATATGACTCAAATCTACATGGTGGTAACTGAACTTTCCTGTTACTGGGTTTCCTATCTTCACCTTTCTAGTCTCTGCCAGCTTGGCGCAGTAACCATCTGAGTGGTGTCATACAGAAACATCTCGGATTGTTTATTCTTTCTACAGTAATTCTTAAAAACATGTAAATGGTCTCCTAATATAGGAGAAATATGATTTCTCACCCATCACCACTCCAGTCCTATGAACTGTTTCTGAAATACAGAAAAAACTTCATCATGTGGATCTGGTGTTCTAATTAGTTTTCAAGAATAAATCTATGCTAGTTCTAAAAACTGTACTTTTTTTCCTACCCTCAAATGTTTTTCCATGTTTTTCAGCATGTCCCGTTTCTTGCTGCTGCTTTCAATTGCACCCTGTCTGAAGGATGCTATGAAGGTTATGGCTAGTGATTCTTGAATCCTTTTTCTGATTTTTTTTTTTTTTTTTTTTTTTTTTTATAATTAACCCTAAAAAAAAATTTTTCAGGGCGTATTGACTGTTGTCCATGCCAGTAGGTTCATTTCCCTTTGGCTTCACTTGGAAAGTATCAAATTTGCTATTTCTTTATATTACTTCAGCAGGCTGTGTCTGGGAACTTCACTGCTCACCCCTGCCCCCACTACAATGAAGTCAAATAAGCAGCTGGTACCCTGTCCTGAGGAGGCATTCTACAGATTAGCCAAAACCAAGTAATAAGCACAGTTTTAAATCACTTACTCTGTAGGCTTGTTTAAAATACTTTGTGGCTGTGTTGTGATCAGTAATTAAAATTAATAAAATCTATCCTGATTGTATCAAGTATTTATGTTTTTGCTTTCTTCATTTAGTGATGCAGTTTTTCAAATACTAATTATTTGTGCTAAAATGATTATATTTTTCTGATAAGCTTATCAATGAGCAATGATATGACTTATTTGAAGCTGGATAGGAAATCTTAAGGCCAAATCTGGATCTTACTTGATAATATTGTTTAAGTTGGAAATTTCTACTGAAATCAGGACAGTATTTTCACTCAAGTACTACTCTTGAGGTTAATTAGATGATGACTTGATGGTTGGAAAGGCAGTGTAGAGCTTGTGCTTTTTCTTTTACTTCTATTTATCTGTTACAGCATACAGTAAGTGTGAATTCCTTGGAATAAGTCTATATTCCTACAGAGCAGTCATTTAAACTCAATTATAGTCCATGGGGTGAAATGATCTCCTTTAAAAAGGAGATGTCTATTAACAGTGTTTTAGACATCCTGTTTGAAAGAGGATAAACGATGCAAATTTCTCAGAGATTGTACCTCTGAGTCTCTCCCTTTACTACAGGGAGGCAGAGGGAATGCCACCTCTAAATGGATTAAATATTTTTTTTGAAAATTTTTCTTGTTTAGTTCTCAGATTTTTCATCCATATGTTCAGTGTCCAAAGTAATGGAATGCAAGTTAATGCTTATCATTCTTTCAGAACTTTAAAAACAAATATAATGTTATTTCTTGATCTTAAATATATATAGAACATCAGGTTATATCCTATGATCACCTTGCACACTTATTACATGTTTTAATGTGTCTTGCAACAGCTGAAAATCTCTTCTGTAGAACCAGAAAAAAATGTAATTTTTCTGACCCACTCACTCTTACAGGAGATGTGGTCTTTGGATTGCATTTAGCTTGCACAGGATCAGAAGGAAGTTGCAAGTGATTCCTCTGTACAGGGTTTGAGTACGATATAGCCTGACAGCTTCAAATTAACCTGTTATTCTGTGATTGTGATTTCACATACTATAAGTCAAATTCTAGTGAAGCTGACTGATTCCAGAAAATTGGTTTGGGTGTCATGTGTATGCAAGAATGGCTTAAGCTAGTGAGAAGCTCATCACTGGATCACATGTCTAGTTTGTATCATTCTGCATTTATTGCATAATGGGCGTAATTGGATTAAAACCTACAGAAAAATGGCAAACTAAACCTCTTTTAGACTTTTTCTGTCTTTAGCAAAGCAAAATTGTCATGATGTGGGATAGGGAGCTCTTGAAAGGGAGGCCAAGGGTGTAGTGTTTAATGTAAGCAATCCATATATTCACAGGGGCCGTGGGGGAGTACCTCCACCACCATCAGGAGTACCAAGAGGGGCACCAGCACCCAGAGGAGTGCCTCCCAGTAGAGGACCAGTCAGTCGTAGCCGTGGACTTCTAGCACCTAGAGCAAGAGGAGTACCTCCACCTGCAGGCTACCGGCCTCTTCCACCTCCTCCAGCACAGGAGACGTATGGTGAATATGTAAGTTGACCTTTTGATGTACCCCACTTAAGGTGTGTAATTTTGGAGGGATGATCCGAACTATCACTTAAGAACTCAGTAGAATCCCTTTAATTAGTATCTGAGTCTTGCACCCAGAATCTACAGCAGATGTGGACATCTCTCATCACCTTTTCAGATTTGAACTGTTTCCTATTAATAACATTTCAGGTTATATGTACTACCATAAAGACATTTTACAGTGCATTTGGCAAAATAGTTATGTACCTCTTAAACATATATTGAGTTTCTGCTTTACAAAAATATGAAAAATCACATTGTCAGTAGATTTTTAATTCTCATTTAAAACTGAGAATAGTATTCTACTCTTCTTACTAGACTTATCTTTGGGGTCATATAACTGTTCAGCAATTAGACAATTAAATATTTTTATGAAAGCTTCAGAACTGATCCTAAAATTTTAACAATGTACAGTGTATCTCAATAAGATATACATATTTATCTTCATTTTATTGTATTAAAAATTTAAAACATATCAAAGTACTTGACTGAAAAGTATAGACAGGAATTGTTAGGGTATATTTAATTTAATCTGAACCTAGAGTAGTGAGATAAAATGAATAAATGGAATTAATCAAAACTATCATCATAAAAATGGCTTTAGTCTTATAGAAAAATAACATTTTCAAGGACAATGCTTTTAATGTTTTTCATATCTTAAAGCTTTTACTGTGCCTTCTTTACAGCCGAGTCCGGCTGGACTTCATCTCTGTTTTTCAGACTAGAGAAAAAGGAGTTTTTCTGTTTAAACATTTTTTGCTTCTCTCTCAACCTTTCTTCCACCTACCTTCTGTCTCTTCTTTACTCCCCAAAAAGACCTTTAAATCAAATCTCAATCGTTGTCCTTTTGATGAGAAATCTAATTTTCTATAAAACATTTATAGCTTTGTGCAGAAAAATTTAATGTCGTTAGTACAAATGTTTCTACATGTATTTGAATAATTCAGAACTAGGACTACAGCAATGTATCTTAATGTCCCCTGACTTGACTAGTCAAGATGGGCACTGCAAATAAGTGGTTATTTCACAATGCTTTCAAAGAAATTAGTCCTCATTTAACAGCCTGTTTCCAGGGCATACACTGCAGAACATGTGGTGATGTGGTAGAAAATAAACCTCTCGGAGTAACTTCATATTTATATATATCCGCTGTATATAGCATATGAATATAGAAGTGTCATGGAAGTAACAGCTGCTTGAATTAGTATCCTGATGTATGCTTTGCTTCTGAGAGAGAATAATTAGAAAATAGCACTATAAAGAAAAATAGTGCTGTGCTAAATAACTTCTAAAAAGAATGTTCTCTAGAACTGGGTCACGTATCTTCCAAATGAGATATCTTAACTGGGATAGATATGCTTAAAGCTGTAATTGATAAAGTGATCCGAGCTGATGCTGGTCCATTTTAAAATTCTATATTTTCTATGTCTCCTTTGTTAAAATGGACATTCAGTAGAATAAAGTTTTGCAAGGACATGAACCATTAGTGTATAGTATGTTAAATGTTAAATTTAATACATGGCATTTTTTTACCTGCCTATTTGTGGTACATTACCAAAGTGCCTTAGCTGTATCTTTTACAGGTTAAGGTAACATGGCAGGAAGCATTACTAATATTTCTATCCTTTCCTTACTAATTGTTTGGCCATATCTAGTATTAAGTGCTGGCTAGCCAACCTGAATATCTGAGCAGGGTAAGATCTCACTGTTTGCTGAGAAGTGTCTGTAGAATTAAAACACCAGTGAGATAGTGGGTGTCATAAAATTATCTAAAGTAGCATATAGTTTCAGAGCCTCGGAGACTGGGATATCCAGAGAGATTACAGAGCAGCCCTTAGAACTTTTTCCATTGAGGACTGGAAAGTCTCAAGGGTTCATGAAGCTTTTCATCCCCTCAGGCTTACAAGCCTCTGCTTTGCACTCATTATCTTTATGTGAAACTATGCAAGTTCAGAAAGAAGCAAATTCTGCATGGCGGCTTTCAACCACTTGCCTTCTGTAACTCTGTAGATATCTAAAAGATGCAGGGCTTTCAGTGCATCAAGTCGTTTTCCCCTGTGTTGGGACTATTAAGTATACCCTGTGACAGAAAATGAGGCCATCGTTGAGTTACAAACAGCATCCATTTTCCTTGGATCCCTTTGCTAGCTTTTTTCTGTAGTCTTTGAGACCAATGAATCTCTAATGCCTATGAGGAACTCAGTTCTGCCTCCTGCTTGTCCTGTTCTCTCTCCTTCCTCTTGGTTGTTTAGGAAGTTGTTTTTTAAAAGATAATATCAACATGGGAAGCGGAATACCTGCTTTGTTCTGAAAAATCATGAGGATTAATTTTGGAGGCAGTATCTCACAGGTTCAATCACTCCACAGGCAATGCATTTTAATGTGGGCTCAAGATAAACGGAAGTGGGGTACCATTGCTGCCCTGGGTCTGGAGCCCATAGGGAAGTTGTCCAGAACTTCTGCTACAGCAAGCTCTGTAGAGGGTAACTGCAGAAGAGGCAGACTACCTCTGTTGTCTGTCAGCTTTCTGGGGTGTTTGTAATGCAGAGTCAGGATGCATGATGTGACCTTCTCTGCTGACATCACGCAACATATCAGACTAGCAGCAATATCTGCATATTTTTCCAGTTCAATGTAAATAGCTTTTCCACTCCAGTGTTCCCAGTCTCACTTATGGATCTCTCTCAGCCCCAGGACCCATTCCTCCTGGGACCTCACCATATTGTTAGTACCATGATGTTTTTGAAGCCACTGGAATGACAGTTCCTTATCACTTTCTGTGAATTTTCCTTTTAATAGCTGTAGCATCAGCTTAGACAATGGCAAAAATTCAAGCCTCTATGGCCAGCCAGCTTTATAATCACTGTTCTAAACTCACTGTTCTGTTTGGTGTGATAAACTTTCTCTGAAGGCTAACACACCTCTCACTTTTATGTCCTCAACTGCTTAGCTAAGGAGAAAGCCTAGTATGACGTGTGAAGCATGGCCAGGATTATTTTTATATAACTTGGATAAGGGAAATCATACTAGATGGTTTCTGGATTTATTGAAGCACAGATAGTTTTGGGGACATCATTCTCTTAATTATATGAGTTTTTTCTCCACTCATTGAACCAAACTGTTAATGTATTTTCAAGTTGACCATTTATTCCATTGAGATAAGAAATAGAAATTGTATTTAACTACTAGCTGGAGTTTTTAAGCTTTTCTGTAATTTTCCATAGCTGGAAATTAGTAACAGTATGCTAGCAATTCACTGCTCTTTAATAACTGTCAGTTCCTTAGCCAGTGTTCAAACATAGGTTAGACCCTAACTGTTCAGTCTCAGTTACTGTCTAGTAACAGTTGCTGCTCTTCACCTCTTCCTGTTGTCCTCTTCTTACCAGCTTCAAACTTCAAAGCTTTCTTCCAAACTAGTAACACAGCGATGTGTCTGAAGCTTTTCTTAAGGATTAGACTTTTATTTGCTACTATTTTCATTTTACGAAGGTAAATATTTTGCAAATATTCTGTAAATATTTCCGTTCTGTACTTTATATGAATATATTTGTGATCATGCTGTGTCAAGTCTCATTTTGGCTGCTTAAATGTGTTAAAAGCCAAGTGAGATTTATCTGAGTTGATAATCAGATCTTTTAGGCATTAAGAATTGGACTTTAAACATGGATTTAAAATCTGTTGCTGTGGCAATGTGGATGGTCTGCACTAAAACATAAAACTGCAATCTAGCAGGTTATGGCCAAGGCTTGCTTCAACACTACTTTGGAAAGCAATCAGATTGAAGTGTTCCTTCCTAGTGTGTTGGGGGAAAGCTGTGGCAGAGTTTCAGATCTGTGTCTGGCAGTTCTGTTGATGTTTTATTGTGTTCAGACAAGGGTTACCTCACCGGCAGGCTTTTCTGATGCAGTGACCACATGTATAATTTCTAGCAGTTATTGCTTCAATTAGAATGCTTCAATGAGATTGCTTTCTGTAATAAGAAATTGAATTAAGATGGAATGTCTACCAGTAAGAGACCTAGGGAGCCTTTTTAATGATAAGTAAATTATAACCTGTAAAAGAACATTATGAAGTATTTCCAATTACATGCAAGGGCTTTTTTAACTTAAAGATACAGATACAGACTACTTAGAGTATAGAATACTCTGATACAAAAGGGATGCTCATAACAGACTTCTAAGTCTGCTCTTTAAAATCTCAGTGTCATTATCGCCTGATTCTGGAAGATCCTAAAGCTTAAGGATTGCTAAATTTTAAAATTTTACAGTTCCTGAAGCATGTGTTTCTGGAATAATTACAGAAATATTTTGCTTTTACTGGTGGACAAGGCAGTGCTTCAGACTTAATTCTGATTTAAGCTTGTAATTCTCGTACTAAGTCTGTATTATGAGACTGTACTTACGCTATGTATTCTAGAAGATACATACATATTATAAGATACTACAATATTATGAGACTCTACTCACACTGTTTCCCGTGAGAAATGGGGAAGACCCAAAAGATATTATTTAACATGCTGTCTAACAACATCCCACCCAAATGATGAGCAGATGATGTGATACTGCATGTCTCCTCTTAATTTAAAGCTCAGTATTTCTCCAGTTGTAGAATGCCCTTGGTTCAAATGCCTGTTGCAGGTATGGATATTCCTTTGGTTCTCTCTGGAGATGGTGTGCTGACCACCGGGACACTGGTTGTCCTAGCTATGCAGTGTCAGGAGCAGTGGTTTCTGTCCTTTTGATTTTGAAAAAAAACCTTACAAATTTGTGCGAAGATTTAAGGGAAGTTCTCAAGTGACATTTGACTGGGTGGCTAAGAACAGAAATCCATTTCATGATCCAGTGTTTATTATAAAACACATGTGTATGTATCCATTAGTGACAGAAATGAACACAAATTCTTACTATTTACAGGTGAGACCCCATTCAGCTGAATAACCTATAGCCTGTTATTTAGTGCCA